TCTCTCTCTCTCTCTGGCTCTCTCTCGCTCTCTCTCTCTTTCTACACTGAACCAATCCAAATATGTTCCTGGCTATGTTTAAAAGAACACAACGGTACGTAGTGTTTCATTACCATCATCATTGTTTCTTCCTCTCCACACCCTGGCAGCGAATCTGACACACAATCATAAAAAACTACAAATATCATACCTCGCTTCATTATTCGAATATTACTCTGTTTACTTTATTAGACTGTTATTGAACGCGTGGATCCATTTGGGAATGGAAGTTGCATTTCTGGTGATGATGTCAAAGAAAAAGATATTTATGGGAAGAAATTCCATACGACATACTCTAGGCAGGTGAGAAAATAAGGTTACGTAGGTTACACTATGTAAAGGATGGTTTGCATGGTTTTGATCACGACGCTAAATGCTGAGTATGAGTGATGCTTATGTTTCCTATTCAACAGGCTTGCTTGAATTCGTGCCTTGCTAATAAACAGCTTTCAGAATGTGGATGTGCTGAGGCTCAATTTCCCACAGACTCTAATATATGCGACATAAAAAACTCCACCACAGGTAAACAACATCCGGACTGATATTCAATTCCTTATTTAATTTAAGCTTTGGTACTGAAATGCTAGATGCTTACGGGTGACACTGTTCAAAGTTCACTCGTCATCGTTTGCATACACACACAAAAAACGATGATGAATAAACGTATTCACATATGAAAAGCGCCCAATTCAATCCAATATTCTTTACATGTTTTCTTTTTCATGGGACTTATCGTTAACTTTACTTGTCTTCTAGCCCGATGTCTGCGAACATTGCTACAGAGATTACTTGAAGGGAAGCTCAGCTGCAAAGAGAACTGTCCCACACCCTGCAGGTTTGATTATGACCATCAACAATCTATCGATTTGTCATACATAAAGATTAATAAAAAGTTTCGGACATACTTTGCTGCTGATTTATATATTTGTCGTTGTTCTAATGTTTGGCAAATTGTTTCTCATGTTTTAAAAACTCTGCATATCTGCGGTATAAAAAAGTGTGCAATGAAATTAACCGAATTAGTAGCTATTTTGGAAGTTTCTGGCTCATTTTGTATTTAACTTGATTTTTTTCATTCCGTTTTGTAGGCAGACATAGATTTCATGCCGTCAGCACATATTCTTTCTCGTTCAAATTTATTACATAAGTGCATTTTGAAATGAGGTAATCATGGAGTGATTCTTCTTTCGTCACTACAGAGAAGTGGAATTTAGGACCTCACAGTCAATGGGAGAATGGCCTTCCATGGGATACGAAGTAAGACTATATTCTTTTCCCTTGATTTTTAGTCACCGTAAACGAATCTCGGAGCACAAAAAAAAAACGAATTAATTCTTATTAATCGTCATTAACGATTTTTTAACTGTTAATGTTGTTTTTGTTGTCCGTTTGTCATTGTTTTTTTGTTTTTCAATAATTACATCGTTACCGTGTCTTGTATGTTGACACCTACTTAAAAGTTTTTTTTTTTTATCTAAGGGGATTCTTATGGGTCGTCTTCGAGAAAAACAATGGTTTATTACCGAAGATAAATATGGATTCTATCTCAGGTGAGTAAAACATGATGTTGTTTGTTTGGAGGCTGGAGTGTTCAATTTTATCACTGATTTATTCCTATTATTGTTACAGTGAGAATTTTCTTCAAGCGAGAATATTCTTTGAGCAGCTAAACTTTGAAAGAGTTGTAGAAAGTGTCAGCTATAAGGTAGATATGATATAAAAGTGACATTGACTGTCACTTCTACGTTATTGCCAAGTTTGATTTATTGATATTCTAAGAGTGTTGCTCTGATGCTGATTTTTATTTTCCTTCCCAGCGGCTTTTACAAAAAGATACCCTTATTCCATGCATACTTTAGAAATCTGTATGGAATAATTTGCTATCCCTTACAAACTCAGAAATGTAATCTCCTCAGCCTACTAGAAAAGCTCTACATGGTGTGTGTAATTTATAGAACAATCTCTATAACACTGGTCATATGGAGAAGACACAGTTCAGGTTATTCGGAGTAATAACTCAATTGATTTACGCAGCATCCATGTTTTGGTTTTGCAGAAAGTGAATCTTGTTGCAGATATTGGAGGACAGCTTGGACTTTGGATTGGTATTTCAGTGTTAACTTGTTGCGAGTTTTTGGAGCTTATTCTCCTTATCATCAGAAGTCTTATCAAGAGGTCTTTCTCAAGAAATATCATCAATGTGGAACCTTCTCCCCGTTAGATACACACGAAATCATAGAGTAGCATCTATGTCAAATATTTCTTTATCTACGTATACATTGTAGTAAGTCGGAGGGGGCATTTCGGCAAGCGCTTAAACTCGGCTAAAAAAAGACAAAAAAAATTGTTGGAAGCATAAGTCTATAATTTATATCATCTTTTTGGTGATGTCAGTGAAGCAAAAATAATATCATCATGAAACATTTGATACTATTTGCAAAGCGTTTTCTTGTAAATATATGTTAATTGACCAAGAAGGAATCGCCATTAAAGGCTTTACACGATGAGTAAATATTTAAGAAAATGGAGCGTTCGAGATAAGTTAAAATTTATCAAGTTGAGACATTTCTTGATGTAGTATCTTATTGTCAAAATTGCTACCATCACTGTAAGATATTAGTAGTTTGTTTCTGTTTTCTTTCTTTCCTTTTTCATTTTTTTGATTTTAGCTCTTGTTGCCTTTTTTCGCCTTTTTTTCGGTAGAGTCAAAAGCCCATAATAATGACCACCTGGTAAAGTTTGTAGTTGAAGTGAGGTTGGTTGCTTAACAGCATTGATTTTACAATGGAAAACGGAAATCATGTGAAAAACAGTAGAACTGATCATTGTAACATACAGATTTTGAGTTCCTTTGTTTTGTGAAGAATTAAGAATGAATAATGAAGAATATAGTTTCTTTCAGTTGCATTTCTTGTTTGATGCAATTCAAACGAACAAGCATTAAAGATTAAAGTCAGACCAGCAACTGTGGGTTAAAAAAGGACATGATAAGTTTTACCCAAAAAAATTCAAAGTGACAATAAGGTGAACGCAGTTATAAAGAATAATATAATTAGACTATACAGTAATTGTACTAAAAGCCAAATGAATGATCCTTTGATACCAATACAAGAAACCGAATTGAACCGTCTTCCCTTCCCCAATCATTCCGTCATATTTGATTATCGGTCCGCCCTCTTCAACAAAGTTCATGCTCTTTATAGACGCCAAAAGCCGTTTTAACGACACGAAATTTGCATATCGAAACCCCACATCACTCGTTCCTATACTTCGCAAATCCACTTGTAAATTTACGATGGCACTCCCTTTTTTGCTATCTTTCAGCTGTTTGTCTTTTGTTTGCTTTTTGTCTTTGTTTGTCTGTTTTTATTTTTTTGTTTGTGTGTTTCTGTATTGTTTTGTATTGTTTTTGTTTTGTTAAAATTGATGGTTCTCCAGCACACTCTATTTACAAAAGCTCATAATATGCTACGTTTCTTGATAGAAACTTTACGTGAACTGAGTGTCATAAGGCTTATGACCACTAGATTTCAAACAATTTTTGCCAATGCTTTATCGGTCGTTGCAGGGGGAAATATAATTCCAGAAGTAGAATTGAAATAGAAAAAAAAATTAAAAAAAGAATTAATGGAATCGTTTTGCCCCAATGCATGTTTTAGAAAGTAAATAAGGATCTCTTGTCGACGTAAAATCATGAAAATTTGCGTTCGTATTTTTTTCGTGAAACTACCGCAGTCCTCCTGCAAGAAGACCTCTGGTTTATTCTATGAGCCATTCTAGGTAAAATAGCCAAGTGACTGATGGATAGCATTCATACAGTTTCTCGTGATAATAATTCAAATCTGACAAGAAAACAAAACAAAAAAATTAGGATACATGATGCTTCAGATGTATACACAGCGTGACTAATATGGAGATGTGAAAAAAAAATATTCTCATATACCAGAATTGACAGATGGTTTCTTTCACGCGCGATTTTTGTGATTTATCCGGCGCCAATTAAGTTTATTTTTTTCTTAGAAAGAGGGTGAAATACCTTAAGGACAACATACATTTAGGATAACCAAACAACGATATATTCAGTATTCTTGTTAACGATAACATCTGTTAATCATTGTTATATCTGGCATATTCTGAATGGAAAATGTTGGCCGTAATTTTGTATGTTTAAAAATGGATAACTCCAAACAAAGCGGCATAAAAATGAATGTCACAAACTTTTTAAACTTAATGAGATAAGTGATAGATATTAAAGAAAAAAGCAAAATCCAAGAATGCAAAGAAGATTGTTCGTCAACTTATTTCCTCTTTGTGAAAGCTTCCCGAACAGTCAATTGGTGTACTGTTAATCATTTTGTCGCTTGGCATGTTGGACCTTGAGATTCTTTTGTCATGCTTACGTTCCATTGTTTGGCCCGTTTTGCTAATTAAAGTTTATTAACTTCTGCTGTGACTTGTAGCGGTTTGTTGGCTTAAATTGAAGGTACAGGAAACATTTAAATGTCACAGATAAATGGATATCACAAACTGAACTAAAGGTATGACGACTAAAACTCCCGATCATCATTTGCTCATTACTTTTCTTACCGGTGATGAACAACTGGTCATTCATTGTGATTTCGTATTCCCTTGTTTTTTTTTTTTTTGCCAAGACCACCATAAGCTTGGCTTTGTCGATCGGTTGTGTTTATGAAACGATGATGCAGCCAGAACATAACTTTTTGCTTTTAAAAAATTGAAAGAACATAACCAAACTTTTCCTATCATGGAATACATTACGAGTTAATTCGTCCTATTTCATGCAGGAAACTTTTTTAAAAGTTGAAGCCAATAATTATTCTGGCAGGTGAGGTTACCATGTTGTTTATGATAAATAATGGTAAAGCGTGGCGTTTTTCTGATAAGTAATATTGCTGGAAACTGCTCTAAACGAGGGAAGTAATTTTTTCTTTCGGAAAGAAATATCACGTTATGCTAAAGAATTTGACTCTGCTTACTCCTTCCAGGGATATTTGATGACAAACTGTCATAAAACAACTCAGTGTGATTTCTGGTAACATGGGAAAACCAACTTCCGAAAACAGCATCAGCAATGAGAAAGACATTAAAACCAATAAACCTTCTGTTAAAGAGGTTATTAGTAACTTCTGTGGCTATACGACGGCACATGGCCTTGGAAGACTGGCCGATGGTGGTGGGATATTCCGTCGAGTATCATGGACTCTGTTTTGTGTGGGTGCTATGGCGATGTTCATAGTTCAGACCAAAAATTTATTTGTTATTTACCTCAGCCGACCTGTGACAACTGTGGTTACTGTCAACCACGAAAGTGTAAGCAAGAAGATGATTATTTTCTAATAATAGGAAATGCCTCACACACTGCAGTTATCCTTCTAATTCAGCCTGTCATGATTTAACGCCAGCGGGGGGCGGGCGGAGGGGGCTGGAGGTTTTTAGTTGTGTCACGGTTAAAATTTACCTTATCCCTTCGTAAGGCTCTGTAATTCCTCATGATCTCCCATCATTGGCGGTTAACTGGAAGTCAATTTTTTATAGTACCCCTTTATATTCTGTTGGCGACGGCTGATCCGCCCTGAAAACCATGTGATTCCTCTTTAAGTTATCCACAACCTACCCCCCCCCCCCCCGCACCCCTCTCTCAGGCAAAATATAGACCGATCCCTAACTCAAATGTAAATTTTAATCAAAGGCGACGCAGTCCTTAATTTTTTTCTTAATTTAAGATGTGTGCCTATCCTATTGTTCAAACAGATATACAGTATGAACGTATTTTCCCTTTCCCGTTTCCCTCATTTATTTGCCTCGACTATTTTATTCATCTTTTTTTATGAGTCGCTTTAGATCTTTTTCGTCATTTACAGTCGTTAGTTCTCTCGGGTTGTTTTAGCTATTTTCTGTGTGCAAGGATATTAGTTGAAATTCATTTTTCTTCCTCTCGATGCCAATCGCATAAGCAAATGGCCAAAAATATTCTAAAATGGGGCTTACAGCCAGAATAATCGGTTAGTCAAGTGGCTAAAGTGTATTTCGACGTGAGTATCGTAAAACTAAAATCAAATGCATCACAGAAGCCAGTTACAACAAAGGAAAAGATCAGGTGGAGTAAATGAGAACTCAACGTAAAAGACATAAATATTAATAAATTGCTTTTGTTCATTCCGCCGATTAAGAAAAAACATTAACTATAATGACTACTTAAAACATTGTACTTACCGAGAGCTATGGCCCGATAATCATGTTATATACGTGTTTACCCACTTGCAGCATGTCAAATTTCCAGCTGTGTCCATCTGCAACCTTAATATGATTCGCTATGATAAACTCCCCTATGGCTTCATAGATGAAATTTTGGAGCATTTGAGATTGGAAGGTAAGGTTGAGTCAAGAAATACAAATTTGGAACAGAACAGCTTTGCAGCGCTGGTGAAGCAGATAACAGACTCAGGAGTTGTGAGCTGTGTGTCCCGGTAAACTGAACTAACAGCCTTATAACTATTCATAGACGAACACTCCTGCTGGGTAATCACCTTGAGGGTAATGAGCTTACTATATAATGCAACGACAGGGAAAATAAAAACAAAAAAAATGAAGAAAAATGGGAAAAGAAACAAACGAAAAACAAAATAAACAGAAAATACAAGTATTTTTTAATAAAGGGTCATTACAGAAATACCTTCTACGCCCCTAGCTATGCTGATGCATGGAAACTTTCTTGTTCATGCTATTTTATCCATCTGTCTATATATTTTGAATTTTAGAGGAAAATGAAAGTGGAGGTTCGAGAACCTCTCAAAATGCATTAAGTTCTGGTGACTTACCAACTGATACCACTGGTGTCCTTACCGATGGTTCGGAAGACGCTACTGCTGACTCGACTCACACTTCTGATGTTCCCAATGTTGTAACACAAAGCGTTACGACGAACTCTCAGACAGCTTCTCCAGGTGACTCAACTGATGCCTTCACTAGCGTTCCGGGAGTAAAAATCACGCACGGTTCCTCAAAAGACCCGAATGATGCCATTGATGTTCTCACTGGTTTTCCAGAAGACCCAACAATGTACCCCTCGAGTAATGACGACTACAACTACGATCCAAACTATTTTTACGACTACGACTACTTTGGCTATGACTATTTCTATCTAGGTGGGCCTGAAGAGACCAAAGAGGAGGAATACAGGGTCGAAGAAACTATCCGTGCTGAGATAGCAATGAAAAATGATTCCGAGACTTACCATATGGGGCACCAGTTTGAGGATTTGGTGTTTGAGTGTTCATTTAGAGGATATGATTGCAGGTATGTTGTCTTTTTAAAAAGGGCAGCCAGTGTAATGCAATATAAAGCAATTTTTTTAAATAAATAAAGAAAGAGCCAAACAAAACGACAACACAGCAATCAAACAAAAATAAAAAAAAATTTTTTCTATAAACAGTTTCCGAGGGTTTTTGTTGTTATTTACAGACTTTTTCATTTTCAGTAACTATTCACTTTATTGGAGGCATTTTTGGGATCATCGTTACGGAAACTGTTTCACATTTAACGGTGGCACTGATGACAATGGAGAAAGACAGAAGACTATGATTTCCCACGTCACTGGACCAGCTGGAGGTATTTACATTCACATTTTGCCGTGTTCCAGGTTTTAAATGGTAAACAGCGATGAAAAGAAATGTGCGTGGGTCAACACATTAGAACAAGAATAACAAGCATTGAAATATCCGATTATAACAGCAAGAGCATTGACGTCGATATCTACTTTAATGATCAACTCTACTTTGTCCAGTCCAGAGCCAGGGCGAGGGATTCAAAGCTCCATCATTCTTGTTCTTTTGTTGTCCCTCCTACTTCTTTCACTGTCATGAAAGCTGACCTACTACGACGTGATTTCCCCTTAAATTTAGCTCGATCGTTGTAGCTGATCTGGAAAATAGCTGTTGTTAATGGTGGAATTTTTAAACGCGAAATTCCTAAAAAAAAAACAAGACTTGTTTTGAATTTTGAGAACGACAATCGGCTTGTTGTTGTTGTTATTGTTGTTGTTATTGTTGATGTTGTTTCAGTGTTTTGTCGTCGAAATTTTAAATGAGCGAGAAAGAGTAATGTATTCTCGGTGTGAATCATTCTTGTATGCATTTGTAAACATCAGGGTTGAAGCTTAACCTGTTTATAGAGCAGTCACAGTACATTGCAGAACTCAGTGATACTGCTGGAGCTAAAGTTGTGATTCATGACCAAGGCCAAATACCCTTCCCCAATAACGAGGGGTATAGTGTGTTACCAAGCCGCTCCACCGCGTTTGCCTTGACAAGGGTGAGAACAGACTCTCGGATATAGATACACTCGTTTGCAAAAACGTTGCAACATTGACAATATATATCAAATATATATGTATA